TCTGGGGGGCCCAGCTGTGCCGGGTGTGAGTGGGGGGCACTGAGGGGTGCAGAGAGACTGGGGGGAGCGTGGGGGTCCCTCACACCAGGAGGAGCCCGTGCCCCTCTCACGAGGACCCTGCGATCCCCAGGAGCGTGCACAGGGGGCAGGTGGCCCCGTGTGGTCTCAGGTGGCCTCGTGTGTCACACGTGTGTCCCTCCCACGAGGGCCGTGTGATCTCACCTGTCACACAGGACACGCGTGTCCCTCCCACGAGGGCCGTGTGATCTCACGTGTCACACAGGACACGCGTGTCCCTCACGTGAGGGCCGTGTGATCTCACCTGTCACACAGGACACGCGTGTCCCTCACGTGAGGGCCGTGTGATCTCACGTGTCACACAGGACACGCGTGTCCCTCACACGAGGGCCGTGTGATCTCACCTGTCACATAGGACACGCGTGTCCCTCACACGAGGGCCGTGTGGTCTTGCGTGTCCCACAGGACACGTGTGGGGGGTGTGTCCCTCCCGTGGGTGTCCACGGCCCTTGTCCCTTGCGTGAGGACTCTGTGCCCCCAGAGCTGTTGCACGTGGGGTCGGAGGTGTCTCATGTGTGTCACGTGGGACACGCGTGTCCCCCACGTGGGGGTCTTCGTGGCTCCCTGTGCCTCACGCGGGACACGCGTGTCCCTTGCACGGGGTCCCTGTCCCCCTGTGCCCCCTTTCCCCCCATGTCCCCCCTCCCTCCAGGCTCAGGAGGGTCCCCGGTGTTTGCACACACGTGTGGGGCACGAGGGAGGTGTGGGGGCCGCAGCCCCCCAGCCCTGGGGGGCACCGGTGGGGCAGGACGTGGGTCACGATGACGCCGTGGGGCAGGACAAGGGGGGGTGACCCCGGGATGGGGGCCTGGGGCTGCTGGGGGGACACTGGGGGGTCTCCATGGGCTCTGTAGGTCATGAGGGAGACTCTGTGGGGCTGCTCTGGGGCTCCACTGACTCCCGTGGGTCCCTGTGGGGTTCTGTGGGGCTCTGTGGGTCACAAGGTGGGCTCTGTGGGGCTGCCCCGCCCCCCGTGTGTCCTCAGGGGTGCCCGTGGGGGTGTCTGGGGGTCTCTGTGAGGCTGCTCTGGGGCTCCACCGACCCCTGTGGGTCCCTGTCGGTCTCTTGTGGGGCCACCTGGGGTGTCCGTGGGGCTCACTGGGTCACGGGGGACATCTCTGAGGGTCCCTGCGGGGCTCCCCCGACCCCCCTGAGGGTGTCCGTGGGTCCCCGTGGGTTCTGAGGGAATCTCTCTGGGGCTCCGTGGGGCTGCCGTGGCTCCCTGTGGGGGCTCCGTGGGGCTCCCCCGCCCCCCGCCGGGGGGTCTGTGGGTTCCCCCTCGTGGGTCGCGCGTGGCCCCTCCCC